ATGTACAGTGTATATATACCAGCATAGAACATTTATTGTGCACGTACATATATACATTCGAGTTATGTAGTAAGAATGTAGACACGTGTGCATTTCTTAAACCCGACAAGCTTGTGTATATTTGTTTTAATGAATGTAGACACGTGTGTTTGTTTAATAGTTTTTTTTTCTTAAAGACGCTATTCAGGTTTATAAGTGGTGGGTCAGTTTGTGAGTGGTAATACCAGTTAAGATCTCGGTTAAATAGACTGGTGGTGGTGGTGGTGGTGGTGGTGCTGATCCTTTACCACCACATCACCGTTGCCTAGTGACCGACGCCTCATGTTGATGCTATGATGTATCGAATCCTGGGAAAAAAGTCACAAGAAAGAAAGGCACGGAAAAAGACTAACCTGACCTAACCTAACCTAACCTAACCTAACCTACGTGCAATGCCATCATATATATATACTGTGTTGTCAATGTGTACAACTCATGTGACTTTTTTTTCCTGTGACTTTATTTCCTGTGAGATGTTTTAACGGGTCTCTCTCTCTCTCTCTCTCTCTCTCTCTCTCTCTCTCTCTCTCTCTCTCTCTCTCTCTCTCTCTCTCTCTCTCTCTCTCTCTCTCTCTTTTTACAGCCTTCGTGTCGTAATCGAGCCTTCGAGACTTGTTGTATGTGTGTGTGTGGTGGGTGTGTGGTGGCGACCTGTGGTGTAATGGTTAGCATGCTCGCATCGCAAGCAAGTGGACCAAGTTCGATCCCCGGGCAGGGTGAAACTATGGGCAAGTTTCTTTACGCCATTTGCCTCTGTCTACCCAGCAGTAATTGGGGACCTGGATGTTAATCGATTTGTGGATCGTGTTCCGGGGTAATGGTTAGCCAGTGCAGTTGGCGAGTTGTCCGGTCTTCTAGGACTATTCCTTGACACTGGGTCATGCAGCTCGTTAACTCAGGGTGTGGTTGTTGTGTTGGCGACAGCTTCTACACCTTAAACAAATTCACGCCTAGGTGGCCCTTGGGCCGACCAACCTCGTTACACGAGGGGCGACCATTACCATTATAGTGTTGACACGACTGGTTATTATCACGTCATAAACACACTACAGTTAATTAGGTTAGGTTAGGTTAGGTTAGGAGAAGATAGAAGGAACAATTTACAAAAGAACAAAAAGTATAATTAGCGTCTATCTATTCTCTAATGTATCACCTGTTCAGTATATTATTTTGATTATCATTTTAAACTACAACAACAACAGCAATTACAACAACAACAATTACAACAACAGCAATTACAACAACAACAATTACAACAACAGCAATTACAACAACAACAATTACAACAACAACAATTACAACAACAACAATTACAACAACAACAATTACAACAACAACAATTACAACAACAACAATTACAACAACAGCAATTACAACAACAACAATTACAACAATTACAATCGCAACAATCACCGTACAATTTATTTTCCCTTTAAATCTTTATTCCTTTAATAATAATATCAAATACTTTCTTACATTGTTTGCCAATATTTCCCGGTAATCTTTCACTTTTTTCCTTCATTCCAAGTAAGTTTATAAATTTTCCCAAGTTGAACGTATGTATGTCATGTCTGTAATCTTATCACACACCCTTAAATACTGAAGACGACAGGAACAAGGTCATTCGGTAGTTAAACCTTGTGTACAGTAATTCAATATTGATCATCAGTGTATTACTTTTATCGACAATACTCCCTTCAAAACCTAACCTAACCTAACTCCCACAGGTAGACTTAAGGCGTTATAGTACTCAGGAGATCTGGGACATTTTTAGCGAAAGTTTTCTCTGGTCGTAAAACAGAGCCAGTTTTTTTTTATGAGTCTAATATAAAGATTTGACAGAGACAAGAGGGTGTTGAGAAATATTATGTAACTCAATAACCGAATGAAATTGAATTATAGGGAGAGAGCCGACTCGATTACAGGTGAACGAGGTCTAATCTTACACAAAACGACTCTTAATTAAACCAATAAAACTGAGAGAACAGGATTAAATAAATAATACTAAGGTGATGTATAGTCATTAGTGAGTCAAACCTGTATGGTGATAATTGATGTTTGACCTCATCCTATTTGACCTGTGACCTACTTTTACATATATGACCTCATCCTATTTGACCTGTGACCTACTTTTACATATATGACCTCATCCTATTTGACCTGTGACCTACTTTTACATATATGACCTCATCCTATTTGACCTGTGACCTACTTTTACATATATGACCTCATCCTATTTGACCTGTGACCTACTTTTACATATATGACCTCATCCTATTTGACCTGTGACCTACTTTTACATATATGACCTCATCCTATTTGACCTGTGACCTACTTTTACATATATGACCTCATCCTATTTGACCTGTGACCTACTTTTACATATATGACCCTATTCCTCTATTTGACCTGTGACCTACTTTTGCCATATGACCTCATCCTATTTGACCCTGTGACCTACTTTTACATATATGACCTCATCCTTATTTGACCTTGTGACCTACTTTACATACATGACCTCATCCTATTTGGACTCAGACCTTACTTTAAATATGACCTCATCCTATTTGACCTGTGACCTACTTTTACATATATGACCTCATCCTATTTGACCTGTGACCTACTTTTACATATATATATATATGACCATCCTATTTGACCTGTGACCTACTTTTACATATATGACCTCATCCTATTTGACCTGTGACCTACTTTACATACCTGTATTATACCAGTTCTGTCATGGACCCTGTATTAAAAGCTATATACTAAATTTCCAAACTTAGAAATAGGTTAATGTGTTTGGGATATGGTTTTTGTTATGTGTGCAGTTACGGGCGAAATTCCTTGGACACTTAATATATGCATAGAACTACTTCCAAGATCATTAGGTGGGGTAGGGGGGTAATTGGGTTGTTAAGGGGTGGTTTTTTTTCAATTTGCGTTATCAGATATACATTAATCATTTCTATATAACCCTGAATTAGATGATGTCAGTAATTGTCAAGTGTTCAGGGATTCTTGTCCGCCACTGTACACATGAGAACTTCAATAACCAGGGTCACTAAGCAGATGATTTCAGGTATTCAGATTTGGCACGTTACTGAAATCTGAAAGTCGTAAATTCTGTGAAGTTGTTTTTGAAAGTTAGGTTAAGTTAGACAGGTTAGGTTAGGTTAGGTTAAGTTAGGTTAGGTTTGGTTAGGTTAGGTTTGGTTAGGTTAGGTTAGGTTAGGTTAGGTTTGGTTAGGTTAGACAGGTGTGTAATGGCCAAATTACAGGTGCATTATTTTTTTACATAATTTTAGGTCGAGTTAACTTGAAGGTTCACATTTAACAAATCTCTATAGGAGTTTATTTATTCCTTGGACATGATGTTAACGTCTCATGTACACACAACGTCTCCTCTACACACACACACACACACTGTTAACATCTGTACACACATAAACACGTCCCAAATTCACACTTGAAGGCGAAAAAGAAACAAAATAAAGTCATTACTTTAAATGTATGAAATTGCCACATTTCACTGGAATATATTACGTCACAAATAACTTAGAAAAATTCAGAGCGACAAGAAAGCCACACCTTAGGCTGAATGTGTATTTCGTCACACACACACACACACAGACGCGCGCGCACAGGACGAATACAATACCCTGGCCCGTTTCTTTTCCTCTCTCAGTCAAGCGTATTTGCAAATTCTCCCTTCCTCTTTCCCTCTTTCCCTCCCTCACCATAAAATATCGCTCCCTCTCTCTCTCTCACTTTACACTGTGTCTTCATATTCTCACCGTGAACTGTCTCTCGCCCTCACAATGAACTAACCAAAGGTGGACTGGGGACTGGTTTTTACTGCGAACTCGCCATTAGGTAACGCGTTCCACCCCCCCCCTCCCCCAACCTGCCGGGCAACATAACACCAGCTGAGATCTCGTCAAATTTGACCTATTCCCTGTGGTGCTGTGCTGTGCTGTGCTGTGCTGTGCTGTGCCTCATTTATATTCTTTCTGACGTGCTGTGATGTGTTCATTATTTAAAGTTTGGTTAGGTTAGGCTACAGTTGGTATGATTTGGTTAAGTTATGTTATTATTATTATTATTATTATTATTATTATTACTATTGTTGTTATTATTATTATTATTATTATTATTATTATTATTTATATATTCATCCTAAGTCGTCCCTAACTTGTACTGTACTGGTTTGGGGTCGTTAAGGTGAAGGTCGTGGATGGATACCTGAGGGTCGTCCAGTAATTATACCCAGCCAGGTGAGGAACAGGTGTGTCGCTAATTATTTCAGTAATTTAATAATAAACCGACAGGTGAAATTGTTATGAGATCATCTTGTCTTTAATGACTGTTACATGGCCTGCACATTATTGAAGACACACACACACACACACACACAATGCCTTTCACACCAGCAGCTGACAACAAAACGTGACCTGACCTGACCTGATATGACCTGAAGGCTTTTTTTATTCTTTTAATCCCTGCAACTAGGTGTGTGTGTGTGTGTGTGTGTGTGTGTGTGTGCAGGTATTAACAGTCATTAAAGACAAAGGCCAAATGTCATAACAATTTCACCTGTCGGTTTATTATCAAATTACTGAAATAATTAGCGACACACCTGTTCCTCACCTGGCTGGGTATAATTACTGGACGACCCTCAGGTATCCAACCACGACCTTCACCTTAACGACCCCAAACCAGTACAGTACAAGTTAGGGACGACCTAGGATGAATATATAAATAATAATAATAATAATAATAATAATAATAATAATAATAATAATAATAACCTAACCTAACCTAATCTAACCTAACCTAACCTAACCTTATTAATTCTCTTCTTCCTATGGTTGTTTACCCTTTTTAATCTATTATTTCTTCTGTGTAATCATTGTTGTGTTATTTTGTACCTTAATTGTGTTTATTTCTCTTAATTACAGGTATGTAGCTTTGGCTGGCAGGACACGGGGCAGGTACACCCCCCCTCTCCTCTCCCTGTGGTGAGTTGTGTGTGTGTGTGTGTGTGTGTGTGTGTGTGTGTGTGTGTGTGTGTGTGTGATTCATGTACACATTATATATACCTCTTCACACCTGTCCTATTAAGGTCACCTGTGTATATTACCACCTGTCTGTATAAACTACCTCCCTATACCAGTCACCTTTGTGTATTATTAACCTCTCTATAGCGTCCCCCTCTCTATATCGTCCCCCTGTCTATAGCGGCCCGATGTCTATAGCGACCCCCTGTCTATAGCGACCCCCTGTCTATAGCGATCCCCTGTCTATAGCGATTCCCTGTCTATAGCGAACACCGTTTTATTGTGACCAACCTCTGGTCACTTTACAGCGCTTTACTTGCCTATAATATTTAGCTACTCTTAACGACCACCGCTCTGAAACGAACTCCCGTCTGTAGCAACGACCTTCCTATACCGACCACTATGTACTGTATATCGTGGGAATATCAGTATAGTCTATGTATATTGTAATCCTGCATTAACCAAAAACATCATTAATAACTACTGCACTCCTTCTTTTCCTCCTCTCTTCCGACCTGATAACTATGTAGTCAACTCTTCCCCATGATAAAGCCAATCTCTTTAGCACCTTATTCTCCTCTAACTCCACCTTAGACGATTCCAACTCTATCCCTCCTACCCCTGCTCCTCCCACTGAACCTTTGCACTTTCCTATATTCTCCACTCGCAGGGTTGCTGGTGTGTTATCCAGGTTGGATGTGAGTAAGGCGTATGGACCGGACGGAATACCCCCTCGTGTTCTGAGGGAGTGTGCTGAAGCTCTGGCCCCTGTGCTTGCTCGCCTCTTTCGCCTTTGCCTCAAAACACAAACTTTTCCTTCTTCTTGGAAGCATGCCTTGGTTCAGCCCATCCCGAAGAAGGGTGACCATTCTAATCCTTCTAACTATCGCCCCATTGCCCTAACTTCATCCCTCTCTAAGATTTTCGAAACTATCTTTGACTCCCATTTTCTCCGTCACCTTGAACGCTTTTCTCTTTTGTCGGGTCACCAGTGTGGCTTTTGCCAGGCGAGATCTACTGGTGATCTGCTCTCCTACTGCACCCATCTTTGGTCATCCTCTCTTAAGGATTATGGGGAAACTTTCGTCGTGGCCCTCGACATCTCTAAAGCATTTGACAGGGTATGGCACAAGTCTTTGCTTTCTCAACTTCCATCTTATGGTTTCTCTCCCCCACTTTGTTCTCTAATTTCTAGCATCTTTGAGAATCGATCCATGGCAGTTATTGTCGAGGGATCGATCTCTCGCTCTTTCTCTACCAATAGTGGTGTCCCACAGGGTTCTGTTCTTTCACCTACTCTCTTCCTTCTTTTTATCAACGATTTACTTCACACTGCAACTAATTCTATCCATTCTTACGCTTATGATTCTACTCTTCACTCTTCTTCGCATTTTTCCCTCCCCCTAATTATCAAACTAGATCTGTCTCTAGAGCTGATACCGTTTCATCTATCAATGCGGATCTGTGCAGCATCTCTGAATGGGGAGGTAGAAACTTGGTTAAATTCAATAGTAATAAAACACAGTATTTACCATTTACACTTTCTAAATTAGATGATCTCCCACCAATCACATTTCACGACGCGATCATTCTGCCAAATTTCCTCTAAAATGTCATGGAAGCCACACATCTACAACATTGCTAAGCTGCCTCCCCAAAGCTGGGAATGCTGTACAGATGCCGTAGTTGCTTCACTCCTGAGCAGTTGCTTCAAGTATATAAGGGATTCATTCGTCCTAACTTGGAGTACTGCTCTCATATCTGGGGTGGCTCTTCAACTGTTAGATAGGGTGGAATCAAAGGCATTTCGTCCTATTAACTCTCCTCCTCTAGTTGATAATGTCTCTTCCCTTTCTCTTCGCCGCAATGTTGCTTCACTCTCTCCCTTTACTGGTACTTTAACGAAGGGCAATGTTCGGTGGATTTGGCATCCTGTGTACCGCCGGCAAGGCCGTGGGCTCGTAACACTCGTCTTGCCCGCGGTGCCCACCGTTTCTCTGTGGATGTTGGTCACACTAGAATAACCCGTTATAATACACCCTTCTTTCCTCACACAGCCAAACTGTGGAATGCTCTGCCTTTTCTGTGTTTCCATACTTTATCTGTCTCACTTTTGGTTAGATTAACACAATGTTTTTAATTTCCTGTAGGCCCCGTTTGGTCAATCTACAGGTCATTGACCGGAAAACCAGCTTTTTAAAGTGAGACAGATTGTATAAGTATGGAAACACAGAAGAAGGCATAAATAGCTACCTGGCTATCTATTTACCTGTCTGTCTATCCTTTCCTCTTTCTATATATCTATCAATCTATCTATCAGTATTTCTGTTTATCTATCTCTTTACCCTACATCATCATCATCATCATCATCATCATCATCATCATCATCATCATCATCATCATCATCACTATCAACAACGATTATCAAGCAGAGGATCACACGGGCGTCAGCAAGACAGTTGTTGTCAGTGGGTCACCTGAGACATTATCAGTCCTCCTGATAGTGGCTGACAGTGGGAAGGAGTGAGGGAGTGGGTGGAGGGAGGTAAAGGAAAGAGAGAAGAGGTGTGATAGGGAGAGAGATGGAGAGACGCAGGGAGAGAGAGGGGAGGGAGGTAGAGAGAGAGAGTGATGATAGGTAGGAAGAGAGGGAGGGTGGGGGGGTTATGTAAGTACGGGTAGTCCAAGCTAGCCAGTATGAAGGGAGGTCGTCTTGCCTTCAGTAGAGGTGGGGTAAGTGATCCTACTACTACTATTATTACTTTTTTTTTTATTTACGTGGCCGCTATCCTCCCCTAATAGCCATCATTTTATTACCTTAATATTAACTATCCTAATACAACAGTAGCTACCCTTGTTGTGTTGAGTTAGTTGAGCCGCAGGTCTATGCAGCATTCAGTGACTGTAGCCTCATAGTCAATATCTGCAACCATTGTCGGTTTTTGGGCCGAAGCTCTCGTTCCCCTGAGGCAGAGCAAAGCCGACCTAAGGAGAGAGAAGGACAGTCGACATCTCATCCAGGCTGTAACGTAACTTCTGGGCTGCTGCTTCTGTTCGGAGATCACCTCCGCGAGTCTGGCGTAGAAGCATCTTGCACTTGGTCCCATCCCACCAGAGGTTGTGAACACTAGAGGAGTGAAGCTGCCTTGATCAACGTTTTGAATTCTCTCCCCATATGCCCTTATCTTATCTTGTCGTTCTCGTTCCTCCTATGTGCAGCATCGAGAGCTAGGTTACGGTGACATGCGGCCATGGGATAAAAAATCCTGATGTCGAAGAAAGCTCGCTGTCCTCGCGTCCAGAATCCTCGAGCACTGACGTCAACACGGGCTTCGTTGGATGTGTTTGAAGTCTTATGTTGGAAGATCTCACCGTCCAATGGAAGGAGGGTCGGTTCTACCCTGACATCCCGGCAGATTTCCTTCAACATATTTGCTGTGAGATCCCTTACTTCGTCATGCCTCATGCATATGAAGCCGCCCTTCTTGCACACCATGGCGTGATCGACGTCATAGGAAGAGCCACACACGCATTGGGAGGGCAAACCTTCTACTGGCCGACCGTACCTTAGAGCAATGGCATCTGTAAATTCTTGTTTATTGAGACTGAAACCATTTGCCCTTAATCTGTCTGGTGGCTGTCTATTTGTCTATCTTGATCTATCTATCTATATATGTAAGCATTTTAATCCTCTCTCTCTCTCTCTCTCTCTCTCTCTCTCTCTCTCTCTCTCTCTCTCTCCAGTGTTTCTGTTTGTGTCCTTCTAATCCACCCTCCTCACCCACCCCAGCCCACCTCCTCCCACCCCACCCCAGCCCCACCCTCCTCACCCACCCCCACAACCCACCCCAACCCACCCACCTCACCCACCCCAACCCACCCACCTCAACCCTCACCCAACCCACCCAGTGTGTGTGTGTGTGTGCGTGGATGTGCGTGCGTTTTGTACATGTTTGTCTCCAGCTATTGATTATTTGAAGATAAGAAACGTATCTTATTTTGATGTTATTCTGAAGGTATGTTGTGCTTCTTCTTCTTCTTCTTCTTCTTCTTCTTCTTCTTCTTCTTCTTCTTCTTCTTCTTCTTCTTCTTCTTCTTCTTCTTCTTCTTCTTCTTCTTCTTCCCAACCTTTTTCTTGATTCCTTTTCTCCTCCCTCTCTTCCTCTTCTTCCTCCCACCACCTTTTCTCTTCTTCCTCCTCCTCCTCTTTCCTCCTCCTCCTCCTCCTCCTCCTCGAGAAACATTTATACTGAACTCAACTTTTAAACCGTGAGACATTGAAATTTCTTGAAAATTTTGGGGGATATTTAGAAAACACTCACTCATGAAATAAGTACCTGTATGTACCTGTACCTGCTTTAATTACCTAGATCTACCTGTACCTGTATGTACCTGTATCTGCTTTAATTACCTAGATCTACCTGTACCTATAGTTACCTGTATGTACCTGTACCTGCTTTAATTACCTAGATCTACCTGTATGTACCTGTACCTGCTTTAATTACCTAGGTCTACCTGTATTTACCTAGGTATCATATGTATTGTCCCTATATTATAAATCTCTCTGTTTATCGCCGGACTAGTTAGGAGGGCAGCGATCTATCTCCCTCGAGGCTGAGCGAGAGACTAAGCAAGATAAGGGAGAGAGGTAGCAGAGAGAGATAGTAGATAGAGAGAGAGAGAGATATTGAGTAATCTATGAATGACGTTGTGTATGTGTCTGACCTGTATATGAGTAGGAGGGTGAGGGGAGAGGGGGAAAGGAGTGAAAGAAGGAGGGAGGGATGAGGGAGAGAAGGGGATGAAAGAAGGAGGGAGGGATGCTACTCTCTCTCTCTCTCTCTCTCTCTCTCTCTCTCTCTCTCTCTCTGTTTACCAATTTCTTATTCGAGTCATTACAATTGTATTAAGTTCGTATTCCTTTATGGTTGGGTCTAGGATTATTATTATTATTAGTGTTG